TGATATTCATTTGCATTTATGCATTATGCAGATGGTATAAATGAATCAAATTAAACGTCACAAGTTAATTGAAGTACTTGAATTAGTGAATTCAAATTGCTTACAAATCACTGTGTAATGCATTAAAGACTTCATATTACAGTATGTCGTAAAATGAAAGCTTATTGTGCTTTTGAAATTGTTTAAATGACTTTTGGACATTTCTAATTACAATGACATATCAGGTTTTGGCTAAATACTCTACTACAGACCAATGTAATTAAAGTTAACTAAAACTAACATTAAATCTAAAACCATAAAAATATTTTTGTTGTTTGAAATAAATGTTAAACTGTAACAAAATTATAATACAACTATATATATATACACAACTAAATTACTAAAACTTAAATTAAAATGAAAACAGAAAATATAAAATATAAAAACTGATTAAAAATAATACTAAAATAATGCTGTTATATATCTGATCTCCAGATCAATGCAATACACAGACGATTTATTTATCAAAACAGTGAACGACCATGTTCAAAGAACTGTGTGCAACCATAAAAATATAAATGCACATGTTACTGTCCACTTTCTTCATTATAAAATCACATTAAACATATTGTGGTTATAAAAGGTTCTGACTGTGACACAAAACAAAATAAAAAGAGCCAGTTTTGTTGTAATGGAGAAAGTAAACTCTCTGTATACTGTATATCTCTCAGCGATTCTCTCATTTTCTCCTATTTCTCTTTTCTTACAGCACACATGAGCCAAAATAGCTGAATCAAGGTATACTGTATGAAGAGGACCAACACTTTATAAATTGTTTTGATAATATCACTTGAGCAAATTTACCCCTACAGTGTAAACATATGAACTTTCATCATATAAACACACCTAAAGGAAGTAAAACACGGAAATGGATGATAAATCAACCGTAAAGTGTTGAATGACGCAATGAAGCCATGACTGCCTGATCTTTAGGTCTTATAAAAAATAAAACACTACAGAATAACGCATTAGAATAGAAACTCCTGCTAGATGTCAACAAACTGGTTTGAGCGTAAAACACGTGTTCTCTCACACACACACACACACACACACACACACACACACACAAACAGAGATGCAACACATGGGCACACAAGCACATCTGCTGTTAGCTGATCTGTTGTTACACAAATCTCATCTGGAGATGCCGATATCACCAACTACAGACGGGCTTAGCTAACGTTACATATTTAGATGGGAGAGCATAAGAAGAGAGAATAATTAAATTCACTTGTCCCTGAGATTAAGATGTTAAATTAGTTATCTTAGCCAGTAAACGACCTGTTGCTCGCCATTGCTATAACCTCGCTCGTTCTTCTGTCAGACTGCGGGCGGAAGTGGCGCCGGGAAAGCGTAGTGGGCGTGGTCAACCTGTCACGTCAATCGAGAGTGACCAATAGAAATAGTCCCTTCATCCTGGTGGGTAGAGACCACCCACTGAGATACAGCTTCACTCACAAGCAAAACTTTTCAACTCGCAAGCAAAAGATTTAGACCAGCAAAAATTTTTTTATTTTTTTTTTTGCAATCTTTTATTTTTTTAATTACAAAATAATTAGTTTTACTCTCAAACACAGTATGTTTGATTAAATAAAAAAGACAGAAAAGAAACTCCATAGAGTGTCTGATAGTGTGAGTGTGCGATGTCAAAATTTTTGATTGTGGACGATTAAAATGTCTCCACAATCTGCTTTTGAAGAAATATTGTAGTATCGTGGTACAGCGCACATTCTATCAGTTGCAGTTCTGGTGTCTCCGTCTCAATATACTGTGCGACATACATTCACATCAAATGTTAAATCAAAATGCTCTGTTTTTACCTTATTTGGAAGGGTCGTGTGGCTCAATGTTGAGCTCTGCTCTGATTGGCTGTTTCACAGTTCGGCTCATTTAAGTAGCTCACACAGCAGGAAGGAAACGCAGGGAAAATATATATTTCAATACTGTCTCTCGCAGTTATATCATTGCGTAATTATACTGTATATAAAATGCGGGCATCAGGGAGCCACTATTAATATGCGGGGCATTGAAACTGCTTTTGGATGCACGATCGCGTTTTACTTTCACTTTCGAGGTTATATGCAAATGTTGGGGGCGTAACTATTAGTGATCCCGACTGTAACGTCACAGTCGGTGTTATGTTCTGATTCGCCTATTTTTCAGTGGTCTTTTGCATGCACGAGATTTACATAAGGAGGAGGAAACAATGGTGTTTGAGGCTCACTGTATGTCATTTCCATGTACAGAACTGTTATTATTCAACTATGCCAAGGTAAATACAGTTTTCCATTCTATGGCACCTTTAAAGCCTTGCCGGTTAAACATTTCATTCGCATGCTGTTCTGACATGCGCTTTTTCTGAGCGCGTACACCTGAAGCGTGTGCATGCTAAAAAGCCTGTCAAACAGCGCCTGATTACTGGACTAAGTTATCTTTTGCATCTGATTGCGCTAATACTGTCAAAAAGACACCAGGTTTACATATAAACACAGTCGGTTATGTCTAAAATGAAAGTAAACAGTTGAAAGGAAAACAGATTCGTACAGCTCTTAAAGCGACAGCAGACTCATACTAAATATGCTGCTGCTTGTCATTAAAGGGATAGTTCACCCAAAAATTTACTCATTCTCACATTGTCCCAAACTGGTATTAATTTCTTTCTTGTGCTGAACACAAAAAAAGATATTTTGGGTAACCAAACAGTTGCTGGACCCCATTGACTTTGATAGTAGGGAAAAAATACTATGGAAGTCACTGGGGACCAGCAACTGTTTGGTTACAAACATTCTTCAAAATAACTTTTGTGTTCAACAGAAGAAAGAAACTCATTCAGGTATAAAACAACTTGAGAATGAGTAAATGATGACAGAATTTTCATTTTTGGGTGAACTATCCCTTTAATGTTAATAAAACAACAAAACACAAAGAGAAAAATCACAAACTGTTCTTGATTGAAGAACTTTAATAAAGTTGCTTTAATAAGAATCAATGTATAATTTATACAGTGAAGTGTATATAGTTTTTTATTTTTTATATTTGTTCAGTTTCTTGAACCGCTAAATACACAGCGAAAAGATAACATAACCTAGTAATTCATCACCTGAGTTTGGTAAAATAACTGTAATATGGCATTAGATGAATCATTTTGAACTTTAAATACTACTGTGATCTCTTGCCAATTTAATGATTTCTCTGTAATGCTTTGTTCTGATTTGATTTAGCATCAATAAATGTGATAAAAAGTGAATGAGTGGAATACGATGAAAATGAAACTAATAGTTTTGAAAGAATCAGAAACCATGTTTTTAATAATGTATTTTATAAAGATCCTTCCTAAAGAAAACATCCAATTCAAGACTATTCTGCAAAAATCACTGCTGTTTTCTAATATAAAAAAAAAAATCTAAATTTTTAAAGGAATAGTTCACCCAAAAATGAAACTTTGCTGAAAATGACCACTTTTTAACACTGGAGGAAACATTATGATGGAATATGGACTCGTATTTTAGCCAGAAGCAACAGTTTGAAGTAAAAAATGTCTTGATGGCTTTGTTTCTTATAAACACGCAGCTTTTGGCTTCAGTCGTGTGGATTACTTGTGGATAATTGTGATGTTTTTAGCAGCTGTTTGGACTGTTTGAACTCTCATTCTGACGGCACCCATTCACTGCAGAGGATCCACTGGTGAGCAAGTGATGTAATGCTAAATTTCTCAAAATCTTATGAACAAACAAACTCATCTGCATCTTGGATGGCCTGAGGTTGAGAACATTTTCAGCACATTTTCATTTTTAGATGAACTATTCCTTTAGAACAAGATCAATTTTTGTGCTATGTTAATGCTTAAAGAAGCAAACTATAACATTTAAAATGCCTAAACTGAAAATTAATTTATACTGGCAGTTTAAAGTTATTCATAATTAGCATTCATCTGTGTTATTTCATTTGTGTGTTGATGAGAAAGAAACGTGTGTAACTCGCCTGCAGTGGGAGACGTGCCACTAACACTGACGTCACACTCCATCTTCACAGTTTCCCAGGGGAAAACACTCGTTGTGTCTGAACTGATGGACAGATCAAACGTGGGACCTTGTAGGAAATGATAAAACGGGAAAAAAATAGCCTCATTTAAGTCTTATATGATAGATATATTAAAGCATACTGCATATTGAGCATTATATTTATTATATACACACTGTCGTTCAAAAGTTTGAAGTCAGTAATTTTTTTTTAATATATAGGAATCTGTATAGATTCCTACAATCGTCCAGCTGTTAAGAGGCAAACTACATATACTCCTAATGAGCCAGTAACATCATTACAATTTATACATACACTAGTAATATCTGAATTTTTAAGATCTATCTGTTGATTTAATATTATTACTGGCATGTTAAAGCTGCAGTCTGTAAGTTTTGCCTCTTTGTCTCCATCTCTGTTTGAAACCTGCAATTGCAGTTACTTGCGGAATTATCTTTATTATGTGGGTTGTGCTCCGGCACGGCTCCAATAAAAATGTCTTGATGGCTTTGTTTCTTATAAACACGCAGCTTTTGGCTTCAGTCGTGTGGATTACTTGTGGATAATTGTGATGTTTTTAGCAGCTGTTTGGACTGTTTGAACTCTCATTCTGACGGCACCCATTCACTGCAGAGGATCCACTGGTGAGCAAGTGATGTAATGCTAAATTTCTCAAAATCTTATGAACAAACAAACTCATCTGCATCTTGGATGGCCTGAGGTTGAGAACATTTTCAGCACATTTTCATTTTTAGATGAACTATTCCTTTAGAACAAGATCAATTTTTGTGCTATGTTAATGCTTAAAGAAGCAAACTATAACATTTAAAATGCCTAAACTGAAAATTAATTTATACTGGCAGTTTAAAGTTATTCATAATTAGCATTCATCTGTGTTATTTCATTTGTGTGTTGATGAGAAAGAAACGTGTGTAACTCGCCTGCAGTGGGAGACGTGCCACTAACACTGACGTCACACTCCATCTTCACAGTTTCCCAGGGGAAAACACTCGTTGTGTCTGAACTGATGGACAGATCAAACGTGGGACCTTGTAGGAAATGATAAAACGGGAAAAAAATAGCCTCATTTAAGTCTTATATGATAGATATATTAAAGCATACTGCATATTGAGCATTATATTTATTATATACACACTGTCGTTCAAAAGTTTGAAGTCAGTAATTTTTTTTTAATATATAGGAATCTGTATAGATTCCTACAATCGTCCAGCTGTTAAGAGGCAAACTACATATACTCCTAATGAGCCAGTAACATCATTACAATTTATACATACACTAGTAATATCTGAATTTTTAAGATCTATCTGTTGATTTAATATTATTACTGGCATGTTAAAGCTGCAGTCTGTAAGTTTTGCCTCTTTGTCTCCATCTCTGTTTGAAACCTGCAATTGCAGTTACTTGCGGAATTATCTGCAATTGCAGCTGTGTGCGGAATTATCTTCCTTGAGTGGGTTGTGCGGCGGCCCGGCTCTAGCGTGGATGAATCTAATGTTTTGAGGAGTATATGTGTGGCAGTCAGTCACCGCACTGGTGTGGATATTTACTGTACTTCGCAATCACAGATTCTAGCCTACGTCTTGGAATATATGACCCAAATAAGAATTTTCACCGTATATTGTCATCTGAACAAGTAAGTATCAAGTCTGCCACGTTTGTTGTGACCAACTGAGGAAAAAAGCATTATCATAAATCGCGCTACCAATGGTGATTAAATCTAATGATCAGTTAATTAGCTAATATCACTTCAAACCGTGCAAATTATTATTACTGTTATACTCTGTTCTCAAATTGTTAATGTTAACAACATCAACATTGCGTGACTACGTGTATGTAGTGTGTATTAGCGTAGATTTCAATTTCTTTACAGTAATCTCTAATTGTCATGCCATCCGAATTTCATATAAAGAAATTTTTATTTTTTAACCCAAAAAGCAAATTATTCTTCCTTAGAACTGGTTCTCTTTAAAATAAAAATCTTGTGTAATGCCACATCTGTAATCAGATGCACATTTAAAACTGGAGTATAATCTAATTTCATTCACATGTGTTTCATAAACACATAATCCTTTCTGGATTACAATCCGCCATCAAAATTATACATTTAATTATTCCAGCTGCTGTGAGAAAAGGCTATAAACGATCTGCCACCTGCAGGATCCTCACATGCGATAGCCTAGTAGCCGGGACAACTTCTTTATGTTTACAGAAGTGACGTAATGACGCAGTGCCATTCTCGAATTTCCCGCGAAAACCTACCCGTACCACTCAAATTAGAAAACATTTTTTTGTTTCATCTTTCTAGATTTGTGTTATTTATAAAGTTTAAATTACAATTGGGCTTCATTTAAGAGCTCTTCAGCCTCACAACATACAGAGAAAAAAATAAAACAGAGAGTCAGGGCTTGATATCGCCAGCCAGCTCACATTATCTTTTACTTCACTTTTTGTCCTTTTGATTTCAGGGTAAAATGTGACATAATGATACTAATAATAATTTTACTAATAACAATAGTCATACTACTACTACTACTACTGCTACAAATAATAATATCATCATTATTATTAATAATAATAATAATTTTAATTTGTAAAAGCACTTTTCTCAAACCCAAAGTGTTATAAGAAATAAAATAAAATAAAATAAAATAAAATAATGAAAAAAAAATCAACACCACACACAATAAAATAACAAAAACAGGTTAAATGTACTATATAGAAAATCTAAAATTATTGATTGTTTATCTCACCCCAAAATGTAAACTGCATTATAACTGCATACACACACACACACACACACACATCTTTATTTGGGAATAAAGCAATATAAACTTTATAGCTAATCATAATGGCTTAATTTTTTTATTTTGGCATAAAATTATTCTACATAATTATATTATACCTCTACTCTTTATATGAAGGTGGATATATAATTATGTCCAACTTAATTTTCAAACATACAGTATATTCCCATAAAACAATACATAATATATAGCAAATCTCGACTATAGCAATCTTCCTGATTTTTTATTTCTTCGCAAAATGTGAACTATATTATTGCCCTGCTCTAATCTGTTGAATGCGATTTTCTGTAAATAATAATAATGATAATAAACAATGATAATATAATAATAATAATTATTATTATTATTGGTATTATTATTTAATTATTAATAATAATAATCATCATTTTAATAATTTTATTTAAATAATAATAATAAAAATAACAACAACAATAATAATACCATTATTATTATTAGTAGTATTTTATTATTAATAATCATACTCATTTTAATAATTTTATTTGGAAATGCACTACCCTCAAACCCATAGTTCTACAAGCAAAATAAACATTAAATATTAACACAAAATAAAATTCAATGATAGACCAAACACAATAAAATGACAAACACAGGTTATATAAACAACAAAAAATTCTAATCAAAAACTATTTCATGTAATTTCTGAAAGCACTAGGGGCATTTCTAATGGTAGAAATGGACATGTTTGGTGAGATTCACCCAAATATATCTTGTATTCTGTACCTTTGTGAGTAAAAGCAATCTGAACCTTATTGGACACTCCTTTGGCCATCTCAACCCAGTCTTCCCCGGGCTGCTTCGTCCAGGCTTTCATTTCACACGAGTAAAACCCACGATCGGTCACCTGCACCGCTTGGATCCGGAACTGGAAGTCCCTTTTACCGGTCTTCACCAGCATCAGGCTGTCCTGTCGGCCTGGCTCACCCCAGTCCTCCAGCTGAAGAACCATCTCAGGGCCCAGAGAGGCCAGTTTCCGGCTGGGTGACCCGATGGCCTCCTCAGACAAGATGAGGATTGAGAAGGCAGTTCCCGGCAGGAGATTCTGGATGTTGGCCTGGCAGCTCATCTCAAACGTGGAGCCAGCAGCCGTAGCTTCACGGAGACGCCGGGCCACGACACCGAGAACAGGACCTAATGAATGAGGTGAACAAAACACATCTCATTAATAGTGTCTCCAAGACAGCAATGAGATTAAATTGAGACTTTAATGTCTGTATGTGAGGTTTCTCTCCTCAAACTGAGTTCACAATTGCTTATTTTTACTCTGCAATTAAAAGTCAGAGCTCAATCAGGGTTATCATCATATTATTGTTAACTCAAATTAAAACTATCAAAAACATTTTGTTGATTCAAATAAAACAAAATAGTAAAATAAAATAAATAAAATATTAGTTAGAATCGTTGCCTAGGGCAACTAACTGAAACATGTTTAAGTTCTAAATCTAACTGGAAATAAATAAAAACTGAACTAAAACAAACTAAAACTGAAATAAAAACAAATTAAACAAACAGTAATATTTAAAATGAACAAAAACTAATAAACATCATAAAAGCTCATAGCAAAATTACAACAAAAACTGAAATTAAAATGAAATCTAAAAATACAAAAAATATTAATATTTGTATTTTAATTTAATAGAATATAATGTTATTTTTTGTTATTTATTTTCAATTTATTATTTAATATAATATTAATATTAAAATATTAATATAAATATAATATTATATAAATAATATTACAATAACACTGATCTCAATATGATCCGAGCTGCTATCCTCATTATATTGCTGCAAACAATATAAACATTAAATATTAACAAACAATAAAGTTCAATGATTCACCGAACACAATAAAATAAAAAGGTTAAATAAAAAAAATTACAACAAAAATTAATCTTTTAAGATTACATGACAGCGTTGATGATGATTATTATATCAAATTAAATAAAAAAATAACCCTTTCAGATTACATGATGATGATTATAATTATTATTATTATATCAAATAAATTTAAAATTAAAATAAATAAAGTAAAAAAAAAAGAAGAATAGATTAACCATCTATAGAATATAATGTTATTTTTGTTATTTATTTTCAATTTATTATTTAATATAATATTAATATTAAAATATTAATATAAATATAATATTATATAAATAATATTACAATAACACCGATCTCAATATGATCTGAGCTGCTATCCTCATTATATTGCTGCAAACAATATAAACATTAAATATTAACAAACAATAAAGTTCAATGATTCACCGAACACAATAAAATAAAAAGGTTAAATAAAAAAAATTACAACAAAAATTAATCTTTTAAGATTACATGACAGCGTTGATGATGATTATTATATCAAATTAAATAAAAAAATAACCCTTTCAGATTACATGATGATGATTATAATTATTATTATTATATCAAATAAATTTAAAATTAAAATAAATAAAGTAAAAAAAAAAGAAGAATAGATAAACAACCTAA